AACCTCCAATCAAGGGTTTAGGGTTTAGGGTTTAGGGTTTAGGGTTTGCGGACCGTCTTTGGGGAGGACATCGAGGAACCTCCAATCAAGGGTTTAGGGTTTAGGGTTTAGGGTTTAGGGTTTGCGGACCGTCTTTGGGGAGGACATCGAGGAACCTCCAGTCTCCTTCTCCGCTGACGCAGACTTTGAAGTGTTTTTGGAGAAAAGCAGCAAACCCTGAATTAGGGTTTGACAGCAGCAGCAGCAAAGCAGCAGCACGAATTGAAACAGATAACCTCAAAGGGTCATGAAAAGCATTTCCGTTCAAATACACTTCTTCCCCCTTCAGCAGCTCCTGCACGCAACCCAAACACAACTGCTGCTGCTGCTGCTGCTGCTGCTGCTGCTGCTGCTGCTGCCTCTCCAGCTGCTCCTGTTGCTGCTGCTGCAGCAGCAGCAGCAGCTGCTGCTGCTGCTGCAGCTCTCAGAAGGCGCGTTTATGCTTTTTGGGAGAAGTTTGAAGAACAGATGAGTTTGCATTTGGAGAAAAGGAGAAGAGTGGAATTATTAAAAATAAAACAATTAAAATTTTAAAAAATTTAGACAAAAACATTTTCAATAAAGTATCTTTCTGGGCCCCCAGCAGAGTGTGGGGCCCCACGCTGGCATTGCCCCACACTTTGCTGCATGCATGCGTTTTATGTTGCATGCGTTTTGTTGCATGCGTTTTGTTGCATGCATGCAAAAAGCCTTCGGAAGAAGAAATAAAAAGAAATAAATTAATTAAATAAATTAAATAAATAAATAAATAAATAAAAATAAACGACAGCTCAGCAGCAGCAAGTCCTGCTGCAGCAACTCTGAGGTGTACGTACACCCGAAATCGCCCGGAAGACTTTCGGCTTTTTCGGCCCGCGGGGTGTACAGACACCTCGCGGGTGGCGGTAAAGGGGAAAAGGACAAATGGATCTAATTAAATTAATTAATTTAATTTAATTTAATTTAATTTAATTAATTTAATTAATTAATTAAATTTAATTACTTAATTAAATTTAATTAATTAATTAAATGCAGGAAAAAGCACAGAAAGAAACGCCCAGAGGCTCCTTTTGCCTGCTTTCACCGCACGGTTTAGGGTTTAGGGTTTAGGGTTTAGGGTTTAGGGTTTAGGGTTTGGCTACCATGATGGCTTTTGCTGCTTCTTTTCGATTAAATTGTTTTTTCATTTTTTCAATCCACTCTGTGTCCAACTTTGCAAAAAGCCTTTCGGGGCACCACGCGGGCCAGCAGTCCCCGCGGTGTTCCATGTCCTCTGCAGCAAACCCTAAACCCTAAACCCTAAACCCTAAACCCTAAACCCTAAACCCTGGGGGCGTAGGACTAAGTCCAACGAGGGCCTGCAGGCCAAGGGAGTGAAGAAGGCAGCAGCAAAAACGGGCTAAAGGGGAACTCAGCGGACTCTCCTAGGGTTTAGGGTTTGTAGGCTAGGGTTTAGGGTTTAGGGTTTAGGACCTTGGTGCTGCTTCTGTTCCTCAGGAGACAAAAGAGAATGGAAGTGAGAATGCTCTGCTGCAGAGACACCTGGGAATGTGTACACTTCAGTCCCCACGCTGCTCGCAGCAGCAGCACAGCCACACGCAGCAGCAGCAGCAGCAGCAGCAGCTGCAGCAGTGGCAAAAGCAGCAGGAGTAGCAGCAGCACCAGTACCGGAAGCAGAAAGAGCTGCGGCAGCAGCAGCAGCAGCAGCAGCGACGACAGCAGCAGCAGCAGCAACAGCAAGAGCACCGGCGGCAACAGCAGCAGCAGAAGCAAGGAACCCACCTACCCTAGGACGGAACAGCGACAGCAGCAACAGCAGCAGCAGCAGCAGCAGCAGCAGCAGCAGCAGCAGCAGCAGCAAGGACCTCACCCACCCCAAAATGGCATAGTCCGGTTTAGGCAGCTGGTACTCCCCAGCAGCATTTAAGAAGTCCTTCAAGTTCCTCCCAGTGTTGTAGACCTAACCACGCAGCAGCAGCAGCAGCAGCAGCAGCAGCAGCAGCAGCAGCAGCATTGGAGTTACAGCGGAAGGAGTTGGGGTGTCTGTACAGCTGGAGGCGTTGCCCCCACCTGCTGCAGAGGTGTCTGTACACCCTGTACACCTGCTGCTGTGTCTGTCCAGCTGCTGCTGCTGCTGTCTGTGCAGCTGCTGCTGCTGTGTCTGTCCAGCTGCTGCTGCTGTCTGTCCAGCTGCTGCTGCTGTGTCTGTGCAGCTGCTGCTGCTGTGTCTATACACCTGCTGCTGTGTCTATCCACCTGCTGCTGCTGCTGCTGCGGTGTCTGTACACCTGCTGGGGTGTCTGTGCACCTGCTGGGGTGTCTATACACCAGCTGAGGTGTCTGTACACCTGCTGCTGCTGCAGTGTCTGCACAGCTGCTGCGGTGTCTGCACAGCTGCTGCTGCTGCAGTGCCTGCAGAGCTGCTGCTGCTGCGGTGTCTATACACCTGCTGCTGCTGCGGTGTCTGCAGAGCTGCTGCTGCTGCGGTGTCTATACACCTGCTGCTGCTGCAGCGTGTGCACACCTGCTGCTGCTGCGGCGTGTGCGCAGCCGCTGCTGCTGCGGCGTCTGCACAGCCGCTGCTGCTGCTGCTGCTGCTGCTGCTGCTGCTGCTGCTGCTGCTGCTGCTGCGGTGTCTGTACAGCTGGGCGCACCAGTTTGGAGCCTCTCCAGAGGTGGCGGAGCGTCCAGTGTCTTTTGAACTTTTCCAAAAAGTCATTATGGCCCAAAAGAGTTCCGTCGAGGTCCGTCACAACCAACACTCTGCTGCTGCTGCTGCTGCTGCTGCTGCTGCTGCTGCTGCTGCTGCTGCTGCTGCTGCTGCTGCTGGGGGCGCGGTGGAGGTACAGCGCGGCGGCCTCGCCGTCAGCAACCACCAAAGTGACTTCTGCTTCCTTCGGCTCCAAGTCCACCAAGTAGTTGTTCCGCCTTCGCAAACCCTAAACCCTAAACCCTAAACCCTAAACCCTAAACCCTAAACCCTAGACCCTGCGGAAACCCTAAACCCTAAACCCTAAGCTCCGCGCCGTCGAGCGAAAAAAACGAAATGAAGACAGCCACGCAAAAGCCCTAAACCCTAAACCCTAAACCCTAAACCCTAAACCCTAAACCCTAAACCCCTGGCAAAGGTGATGAGCAAATGCAAAACAACCAGGCAGCAAACGAAGTGCAGCCAACACAGACACCTGCAGCAGCAGCAGCAGCAAAAGCTGCAGCAGCAGCAAAAGCTGCAGCAGCAGCAGCAGCAGCAGCACTACATCCCCCTGCAAAAAGGCAGCAAGAAGCTGCGGGGCTTAAAGACAGGCAAACCCACACACTGAGACCGAACCACAGCTAAACCCTAAACCCTAAACCCCTAAACCCTAAACCCTAAACCCTAAACCCTAAACCCTAGACGCACCCAAACCTGTTGGGGCTCGGGGGGTTGTCCCAAACCCTTCCTTCTTTTTCTTTGAAGACAAACTCGAGCCGCTGGGCCTCCGCAGGCAGCAGCAGCAAACCCTCTTGCCAGCCCTCCAGTTCGCTGGGCTGCAGCACAAACCCTAAACCCTAAACCCTAAACCCTAAACCCTAGACCCTAAACCCTAAGCCCTAGGCGAGGGGCCGCAAACCCTTCTCCCGCAGCCAGGGGCCTGCGCTCGCGACGCTCAACGCCCGCCGCCCACACCGCGCACTCTCACCGCCAAGGGTTTAGGATTTAGGGTTTAGGGTTTAGGGTTTAGGGTTTGGGTACCTCTAATTGAGCGTCTAGCCAGCCGCCGCAGGACCCCGCATCTGCTGCTGCTTCATAATGAACGAAGGGCCTTTGCCAGCCCGTTTTGTACTTAAGTTTCAGAGTTATATGGGTCATTTTCAAAACCGTAAACCCTAAACCCTAAACCCTAAACCCTAAACCCTAAACCCTAGCCCGAGACAAGGGAAGACCGCGGAGCGCGGCGAGTTGGAGCTAGCTGGGCTGCGGCCCCCAGCAGGGGCGGCGGCCTCGAGCTGAGGAAGCCGAGCTAGGGTTTAGGGTTTAGGGTTTAGGGTTTAGGGTTTAGGGTTTGGGGCGCAGGTGCCGGGGCATCGAGGCAGCAGCTGCTGCCGAAAGCGGCTTTGCGAGGGTTTGGCGGGAAAGAAGCAGCAATGAAAGCGCGCAGCAAATTAATTAATTAAATTTAAAAAAAAGAAAATAATTTGAATTTAAATTTGTGAAAATAAATGCAATTTGGAAAAGAAGAAACCCTGCGCGCGCGCAGACTGAGGTGTACGTACACCCCAGCTCACGGGCCCCGCGCGGCAGCGCCACTGGTTAACTCCGCAGCAGCACTTCGAAGTTCAAATAAACTTCAAAAGTAAATTAATTTCATTTATTTCATTTATTTTGTTTTTATTTCCATTAAAATCCAAATTTAAATCCCAAAACTATCTTCCCTCAGCTGTATCTGCACTCGCCGCGCCGCCGCCGCCGCCGCCCGCTGCTGCTGCTGCTGCTGCTGCTGCTGCTGCTGCTGCTGCTGCTGCTGCTGCGGTGACTCTGGAAGCAGCAGCAAATGCAAAAGAGTTAATTTTGAATCTGAAGAATTATTTGAACTAGAGTTTCGCGCTGCAGTGTCTGTACAGGTGTTCCTGCCAGGGATTTATTTTCTTTTTTAATTCTTTTTTCTTTTTTAATTTTTTTATTTCTTTTGTACTTCTGTTTTGCTTTTTGTGCACATCTTTTGCTGCAGCACACACCCAAAATCAACTTTCATCCATTAAAGAAAACTCCCCATAAAAACAACCCTCAGGGGGCCCCTCAGGGGCCCCCAGGGGGCCCCCAGGGGCCCCCCAGGGGCCCCTCAGGGGCCCCCCAGGGGCCCCTCAGGGGCCCCCCAGGGGCCCCTCAGGGGCCCCCCAGGGGCCCCCCAGGGGCCCCTCAGGGGCCCCCCAGGGGCCCCTCAGGGGCCCCTCAGGGGCCCCTTGGCAGCGCCGCGGGTGTTTTCCGGTGTACATACACCTCAGGCTTCAGTGTGTCTTTGTTGTTAATTTTTTTAATTTTTGGTTTCTCACTCTTTGATTTCTTTTGTTAGCATCTTTTTAATTTTATTTTAATTTTATTTTTATTTATTTTTATTTATTTTTATTTATTTTTATTCATTTTTATTTATTTTTATTCATTTTTATTTATTTCTCTGTTGCTTCTCAAAGCTCCAGCACTCAGCCTCAAAACAACTCGACTCCAGTCTCCATTCAAAGTGTCACCCGAGACAAACGCAGGTGCTGCTGCTGCTGCTGCTGCTGCTGCTGTGCTGCTGCTGCTGCTGCTGCTGCTGTGCTGCTGCTGCTGCTGCTGCTGCTGCTGTGCTGCTGTGCTGCTGCTGCTGTCGCGAATTGAAGGCTCTGGTGCCAAGTTGGGCCAGTAAATAATGTTAGTAATAATAAAACTTGAAAGTAAAAAAGATAAAACTAAATAGGACTAATAAAGAAACAAAACTATAAAATCTTCAAAAGTTTTCATTTTAGGGGCCCTAGTGGGCTTTTGGGGGCCCCCAGGGGCCCCAAGGAGGCCCTTAGGGGGCCCCCAGGGGCCCTCAAGAAGGCCCGGAGGGGGGCCCCCTGGGCCTTTGGGGGCCCCCAAGGGGGCCCCCCAGGAGGTCACCTGGGGGCCCGGGGGTTTAGTAGGGGCCCCCAAGAGAATCTGGGGGCCCCTTTGGTGCCTTTTTTAAAACTTTCTAGGGGCCCTTCGGGGGTCCTTTGAAGCCCCTCGGGGGCCCCTCAGGGGCCCCTCGGGGGCCCCTAAGGGGCCCCCAAAAGGGCCCTCTGTGGGGCCCCTGAGAGGCCCCTGGAGCTTCTCAGTGCCCCTGGGGACCGCCTTAGAAGGGGCCTCTCTTGAGGTCCCAAAGAGGCCCTCTAATGCCACCTAAGAGACCCAAAAGGGCCCCCAGAAGCCCCCCAGGGGCCCCCGGGGGCCCCCGGGGGCCCCCAGAGGCCCTTCAGGGGCCCCCAGAGGCCCCCAGAGGTCCCTCCGGGGCTCCCCGGGGCCCCCCGGGGCCCTCCGAAGCCCCCCGGGGCCCCTCAGGGCCCTCCCGGGGCCCCCCAGGGCCCCCCCGGGGCCCCTCAGGGCCCTCCCGGGGCCCCCCAGGGCCCCCCGGGGCCCCCAAGGGGGCCCCCGGGGCCCCCAGGGGGCCCCCCCTGGTTGAGTTGTAGGGTCATCTGCCTGTGCGGAGTCTCTTTCGGATTTTGCGGAGGACTCTGCACTTGGGCCTGGCGCCGCAGTTGGCCCTTTTGGGGAAGCGGCAGGAGGGGTTTCGGTTCCAGCAAAGGTAGCCGCCCTCCTGGGGTGTACGTACACCCCAGCAGTAGCCCTCCTCCTGCGGTGTACGTACACCCCAGCAGTAGCCCTCCTCCTGGGGTGTACGTACACCCCAGCAGTGGCCCCCCTCCTGCGGTGTACGTACACCCCAGCAGTAGCCCTCCTCCTGGGGTGTACGTACACCCCAGCAGTAGCCAGCCACTGTGGGGTCTTGGGGTGTACGTACACCGCAGCGGTAGGCGGCCAGTGGGGGGTTTTCGGGTGTACGTACACCGCAGCGGCCAGCGGCAAAGCGCGCAAGGACGGCCGAAAGGGGCCGGTCTTCGGGTGTACAGACACCCGAAAGGGAGGAGTTTTCGGGTGTACAGACACCCGAAAGAGGGGAGTTTTCGGGTGTACGTACACCCCAAAGAAGAGGGGAGTTTTCGGGTGTACGTACACCCGAAAGAGAGGAGTTTTGGGGTGTACGTACACCCGAAAGAGAGGCCTTTTCAGGTGTACGTACACCCGAAAGAGAGGCCTCTTCAGGTGTACGTACACCCCAGGTTCTGGAGTTTGAGGGCAAAGTGGGGGCCTTTGGGAAGAGGGAAAGGACTGCAGGAAAAGGGGCCCCGAAAGCCTCAGGGGGGCCCCCTGGGGGGCCCCCTGGGGGGCCCCCTGGGGGGCCCCCAGGGGGGCCCCCAAGACTCGGAAGTCCCCAAAGACCCGGGGGGCCCCCTGGGCTTTCGTGGGGGCCCCCGGGGCCCCAAATTTGTTGGAGAGAAAAAGAGAGAATAAAAGAAGGGCTGGGGTGTACGTACACCTCAGAAATGAATGGAAAACCCGCCAAACGAGGGCTGCCTCTTCCTGCTGCTGCTGCTGCTGCTGCTGCTGCTGCTGCTGCAGTTGCTGCTGCTGCTGCTGCTGGATGGCTCTTTGCTTGGCTGCTCGTGGAAGCCAAAACGCCAGGGGGACCCCCAAGGGCCCTCGGGGGGCCCCCAAGAAGGCTGAGGGCCTCTTTTATGAGGGGCCCCCGGGGGCCCCTCAGGGGGCCCCACAGGGGCCCCGCCGCTGCGCGGGCAGCAGCAGCCATATCCCCCTTTTTGGCTTTTTTTCCTTTATAATTTTAAATGAATTAAAATAAATATAAATATAAAAAGAAATCTGCAGCAAGGAGATGTGTGGCCGCTGGCTGGGAGCCCCGGGGCCCCCGGGGGCCCCCGGGGGCCCCCGGGGGCCCCCTGGGGGCCCCTTGGAGGTACAGATTTTTCATAGTTGGGTTTTACAGAAAAGATTTTATTTTAAATTAATTTATTTAAATACTTTTTGAGTGCTTTTTGTGGAAAAAGTGAAGATAAAGGGGCAGCAGAAGTGAAAGATAATTAATTCAAGAATTTGTTAATTTGCTGCATTTTTTGTTTTCATTATTTGCAATTTTCTGAAAAATATCTCAAGTCCACTATTTAGGAGTTCTTCGCTAATTTTCAATTATTTGGCCAACTTCAAGTGTCATTTAAATCAAAATAATGAAAATAAATTAAATTAAATCTTTTTTAATTCAAATTTAAATCAAAAAATGAATGAAAATGTCCATTCAGCGCGGAAGCGGCGAGCTGCAGATACACCCGAACGAGCTGCGTCCTCAGATGTCTGTACACCTGAACGCGGGCGGGAGCGCCTCTTCGCCTTTTTTCCGAAATGCCGCAGCAGATGACTAATTAAAACTTATTTAAAGTTTTAATTATAATTATAATTATTAATAATTGTAATTTTGAATTTATTTATTTTATTTTGCAGTTAGATCGCACTTCCACCGCCGCTGCCACAGTCACAACCAGGAAGCCGCTGCTGCAGCATGCGTTTCGATGACAGATAAAATGAACTTATAAAACTAAATTGATGAAACTAAATAGTTATTTTGATTCTGCAACAAGATAAAACTAAAGTAGTTATTATTTCTCCACAACAAGTTTTGCATTCGGACTGTAAATATCTGAGCTGCCTATACACCTGAGCTGCCTATACACTTGAGCTGCCTTTACACCTCGGCTGCATATACGTTTCAGCTGTCTGTACACTTCAGCTGTCTGTACACCTCAGCTGTCTGTACACCTGAGCTGCCGATACACCTCAGCTGTCTGTACACCTGAGCTGCCTATACACCTCAGCTGTCTGTACACCTCAACTGTCTGTACACCTCAGCTGTCTGTACACCTTGCAGTGCCTGAGGGGCCTCGAGGGCACTCCCCACAGGCAGCAGCGGACGCGAAGTAGGCCTCTTAGCTTGGCTGGCTAGCTAGCTAGCTGGACAGCTAGCTAGCTAGCTAGCTGGCCGGCTGGCTGGCTAGCTAGCTAGCTAGCTGCCTAGCCAGCTGGCTGGCTCGCTGCCGTGGGGCTTGGCTAGCTAGCTAGCTAGGCAGCTAGCTAGCTAGCCAAGACCCTGCTAAGCTAGCTAGCTACAGGGGATCCCCATTGGCTAGCTAGCTAGCTAGCTAGCTGCCTCGCCAGCTAGCCAAGCTGCAGTGAGGCACCGAACACATGAACTGTCATTTTTTCTGACACGAAGCGCCGCAGCAGCCGCAGCCAATATTGCCACCCGCAGCTTCTGCTGCTGCTGCTGCTGCTGCTGCTGCCGCCGCTAAAGGCCGCAGCAGCAGACGCTCTGCATTCCTGATATCTGCTGCTGCTGCTGCTGCTGCTGCTGCAGTCGCTGCTGCTTCGCCAACAGCAGAGATGAAGGTTCTCTATATGAGCAGCAGGGGCTCCTGCTGCTGCAATGACACAGGAGAGGCGGAGGCAACGACCTGCTGCTGCTGCGGCTGCTGCTGCTGCTGCTGCTGCTGCTGCTCTTGTTCTCGGGCATCCTTGGACCCTGCTGCTGCTGCTGCTGCTGCTCTAGCCGGCGGCTGCTGCACCTTCTTGGCCAACGCAAATGCATCCAAGGCACTCAAGGCAGCGTGGGCATCGGCAGTTTGCTGCAGCAGCACAACAGCAGCAGCAAAAGCAGCAGCAGCAGCAGCAGCAGCAGCACAAACTCGCCATTTATTCCTCCGCCGAGCTACTTCATTTTTCCACAGCAGCAAATACAAGCAGGCAATGCAATCGCAACAGCAGCAGCAACTGCACATACACCCCGGGTACAAGTCACAGCAGCAGCAGCAGCTACTGCTGCTGCTGCTGCTGCTGCTGCTGCTGCTGCTGCGAGCAGCAGAGTGTGACTGACTTGTTTGCTGCTTTCCCCCAAGCTAATTTGTGAAGGGCTGTATGCTGGCTGGCCGCTCAAGCGAGTGCCGCAAGCAGCCCAGGGGTCTGCTGCTGCTGCTGCTGCTGCTGCTGCTGCTGCTGGTGTTGCTGGCGCAGGGCGCGGCAGCTGCTGCTGTGCAGCAGCAGCAGCAGAACCAGCAGCAGGAGGCGCAGCAGCAGCAGCAGGGGCACAGAAGGAAGGAGAAAGAGCAGCAAAAGAAGAAGAGCCACTCATGAAAGGGCCAGGTAAGTTTGAAGGACTTGCTGCTGCGCCGAAGCTCTGAGGCCACGCAGGCGCTGCTGCTGCTGCTGCTGCTGCTGCTGCTGCTGGTGTTGCTGCTGCTCCAAAGGCCGTGCCGGCAGACCCCCAAATCGCCCAGTCTGCCGTGCCCGCTGCTCCCAGCGACGGCTGCTGCTGCTGCTGCTGCTGCTGCTGCTGCTGCTGCTGCTGCTGCTGCTGTGGGGTGTTAAAGAAGGACAAACTCTCTAACCCCTGCGGCTGAACGGGAGGCTGCGAGAGAGTGCCGAAGCCTAAAAGAATAAAAATAAAAAAGAAAACAAAAAAGATAATTAAATGAAACAAAAGCATAAATACGGTGCAAGAAACAGCAGCAGCAGCAGCAGCAGCAGCAGCAGCAGCAGCAGCTCCTGCAGCAGCAGCAGCGAAAGTAGCCGTTTCGGCCGCAGCAGCAGCAGCTGCCTGCAGCTGCTGCTGCTGCTGCTCAGCTGCGAGCCGCTGGAAGCCACAAGGAGACGAGCAGAGCAGCAACAGAGACAAAACGAGCAGCAAAAAGAACAGCAAAAGCAGCAGCAAAAGCAGCAGCAAAAGCAGCAGCAAAAGCAGCAGCAAAGGCAGCAGCAAAAGCAGCAGCAAAAGGAGACACACCGAATTGGTTCGGAGCAGCATAGAGACGGGCAATGGTGGCTTTGGCTGCCTGGACTCGCTGGTCTGTGGCACTCAGCTGCGGCGCTGCTGCTGCTGCTGCTGCTGCGCTTCCTGCAGCAGCAGGTGCAGCAGCAGCAGCAGCAGCAGAGCCTGCTGCAGGGGCATCAGGATTGAAGGCGGCGAAGTCCTCCGGCTCAGTCAGCAGCCAGGCGTCAGCAGCGCTGCAGCACGAAAGCAGCAGCAGCAGCAGCAGCAGCAGCAGCAGCAAAGAAACTTAATTGAATTGAATTTGTGTCTTGAGAAAAAAGTATATTTGGACTAAAAAAGAGCAACAAATGCACAAAATGCATGCAAAGAGAGCTCCATTTGGCTGAATAAAGAAAGAAATAAAAGAAATAAAAATAAAATAATTAAAAGAAAATAAAATAAAAAAGTAAAACTGCCAAAAATAAACATGCAGCCACCTACGGCACTGCAGGGGCGGGGGCTGCATTATGTTTCTTCGAGTCCCTGCAGCAAAAAAAACAAAATAAATAAATAAACAAATTAATTAATTAATTAATTAATTAATTAATTAATTAATTAATTAATTAATTAATTAAGTAATTTTGTATCAGCCTCTAAACGTCTCAATTGTGCAGACGGTGGGCAGCAGCACCTGCCTGAGGTGTCTGTACACCTCAACTGCGCGGGGAAAGAAGTGCGCGATCCTCTTTTTTTCCGGGGGAAATAAACATTTAAAAGATTCTTTTTGATTGAATTTAATTAAAAAGAAGTTAATGGATTTATTTGGAATAAAAAGAGCGGCAAAAGTTGCACTTGGAAGCGAGATCGGCGAAGAGGAACCCGCGGACTTCTGGAGGCCGGAAAACGCGGATTTTTTGGAAAAAAAGGAATTTGAAAACAAATAATTGAGAAATTAAATCAAATTAAAACTCAACGCACCCGCTTTGCTGCTTTTTGCTCTTTTCTTTCTTGTGAGGAGCCGCAGAAGGCAAAAGCGTCCGGGGGTCTTTGCCTGCGCGCATTGGGGTGTACGTACACCTCGTTGGGTGTACAGGCAGGTGGCGCCGGCGCCGCCGCGGCGCGAAACGCGAATTAATCGAAAGAATTAATTTGAATTTGGAAAAAGAATTCATTAAAATGTAAATTAATTCCTATTTAATTCAAATTAAATGCAAATTAATTCCGAATTCAATTCAAAAGCAGACAGATCGCCAGCCAATTCAGGTGTATGTACCCTCGGCCACCGCCGCCCAGGGCTCGGGAACATCTCGCGGCGAATAATTCTTTCGTTCATATTTCGTTCGAATCCAATTTTCGATTGTTCTGAAAACAAATAAAACAAAACAAATTAAAAACAAAAAGAATTAAAATAAATCCAAAACAAAAGAAAAAGAACTCAAAAAGAATTCAAATATATCCAAAACAAAAAAGAAAATGAAACTACACACTCTGCCGAAAAAAACGGCAAATTTTCAAGTCCAGCAAACGCAGAACGGCCCCATAAACCCTAAACCCTAAACCCTAAACCCTAAACCCTAAACCCTGATTCTAAACCCTAGCCCTAAACCCTACCGCTAAACCCTACCCTTCAGCGCTAACTCTAAACCCTAACCCTGAACCCTGCCCCAAAACCCTCACGCTAAACCCCAACCCCAAACCCTAAACCCCAACCCCAAACCCTAAACCCCAACCCCAAACCCTAAACCCCAACCCCAAACCCTAAACCCTAACCCTAAACCCTAAACCCTAAACCCTAAACCCTAGCCACGCACTGCGGGTCGTCTGCGCGGGTGGGCCTTTTGAAATCCGCCGGCAGGGAATGCTCATAATAACTTCTTCCCACTTCATTTCCAATTGCTTCCAGTGTCTGTACACCCCAGATCCAACGCAAAACGCAGCAACAAACCCCACACCTGCTGCTGCTGCTGCTGCTGCTGCTGCTGCTGCTGCCGCTGCTGCTGCTGCTGCGAGCCCTCAGGTGCAGGTACACCGCGGGCCCGCTGCAGCTGCTGCCGCAGCAGCTGCCTAGCCCTCAGCCCCAGCCGCAAACAACACACCAAACCCTAAACCCTAAACCCTAAACCCTAAACCCTAGACCAAACCCTAAACCCTGAACCCTAGAGACAGGCCCTGCGCGCATTCCGAGCCCTCCCCGCAACTCCACAAATGCACTGACTCGCCAAACCCTCGACCCAGGAAAACCCCAAACCCCAAACCCAGACCCCAGCCCTAAACCCTAAACCCTAAACCCTAAACCCTAAACCCTAAACCCTAAACCCTAAACCCTCACCTTGACCCACTGCATGGTCCACCTGTCAAGAGTCACACTTTTGACTTTGCTGATGTGGACTCCCATCTTTCTGTGGACGCCACTGCACTCCAAGCAGATCACCACTCCTGCAGCGCAAACCCTAAACCCTAAACCCTAAACCCTAAACCCTAAACCCTAAACCCTCAAGGTCAAAGATATCCGTTCTCCAGCTCCTCAGCCCGCAGCGCACGCCCACGGCTGCCGCGCAGGCAGCCAGGGAGGAGAGACACAGTGAGGCTTCGGAGTTCATTTGCTGCTGCTGCTGCTGCTGCTGCAGTTGCTGCTGCTGCTGCTGCAGTTGCTGCTGCTGCTGCTACTGCAGCAGCTGGTGCTGCTGCGGCTTCGGGCGCTGCTGCAGAGCTGTCGCTGCAGCTGCCGCTGCAGCAGCTGCCGCTGCAGCTGCTGCCGCCCCCCCCGCTGGGACTGCTCTGCCGCTTCCGCCGCTGCTGCTGCTGCTGCTGCTGCTGCTGCTGCTGCTGCTGCTGCTTACCCAAGTTAACGGAGGCCCAGCGGGGGTGCTTGGCCCCACAGTCTGCGCAGCTGTCATTTCCGGGAAGCCGCAGCACTTGCTGCAGCTTGGCGTCGATGGCCCTTTGCTGCTCGGGTGTACATACAGCCCGGCTGGGGGCGCTGGCGGGCGGCTGCATTGCTGCTGCTGCTGCTGCTGCTGCTGCTGCTGCTGCAGCGGGGCTGCCTTTCGAGAAGCAGGGCTAGCAGCCGCGCGTGCAGCAGCAGAGCGCGGCGCGTGGGCGGAGAAGTGCAGCGGAAAGAAGACAGCAGCAAAACGAAAAGGGAATTCCGAAAGCCCCGGAAGGCGCTGCAGCAGCAGCAGCAGCAGCAGCAGCAGCAGCAGCAGCAGCAGAGTCGACGCAAAAGACCAAACAGACAGCTTTCTTTTGACTTCTCACAAGCAAAAAAAACAGCAAAACGCCCGCAATTCCCGCATGCAGGAGGCGAAACCAGCTGCAGCAGCAGCAACGAACAGCGGTTTCTCTCAAAAAAAGCAAAATTGGAAATAATTTTAATTTTTGAAATTCAAAATTAAATAAATGTTTTGCTTCCAGTTGGCGCTGCAGTGCTGCTGCGGGTTTGCTGCTCGCGGTGTCTTCTGAGGTTTTGTTGCAGCTTTTTTTAATTTCTTTTTCAATTTTTATTTATTTATTCTTTTTTATTTTCCAAAATGAATTAAAAAAGCAAAAAGAAGGCCTTTTTGGCCCTCAGTTTCGCCAGTCTTTGCAGAAACCCGCCGTTCAGCTTTCGCCGTTTCGGACTTGAACGAAAAACGCGAAAAATGATTTTTCGCGCTTTTGTTTTCGACTTTTTCTCAATTAAATCTTTTAATTATTTCATTTTTATTATTTAACTTTTATTTTCTTCTTTTATTTTCTTTTATTTTCTTTTATTTTCATCATTCTGCACTTCGCGCTGCCTCTGCTGCACTCGCAAGAAAGAGCCGGCAGACAGCAGCAGCAGCAGCAGCAGCAGCAGCAGCAGCAGCACTTCTCCGCCTTTGCTGCTGCGTCTTGAATTTGTTTTTTTGAATAAAAACAAACTTGAAAACTATTTATTCAAATTAAAACATTTTTAAATCTTTTCTCTCAAGATTCTGCACTGGAGGCGCAGAGAAAGCCTTGGGAATATTTTGAATGCAGAAAAATAAAATTTAAAAATAAAATAATTTAATAATTGGATTTCATGAATGGACATTTAAACTCTCCGAAAGTAATTCAAAATGAATTAATTATTTCAAAAGAAGTTTTTTTATTTTGAAAAAAGAAAAAAGTAAACTTGAATTCAAGTCTGGTGTCCATACACTGCAGAGAAAGCCAGTGTCTGTACACTGCAGCGCGGTGTACAGACACTGCGGCACTGGCCGAGGAGTTTGCAATTAAAATGAAATTTAGTTCTCAATAAATATAAATAAACTGAATTTTATTTAAATTATTTATATTTATTTAAATTAAAAAAGTAATGTGCTTCTAGATGCTGCTGCACAGACACTGCCAAGTGGCTACGCAGCCCGCTGCTGCTGCTGCTGCTGTTGCTGCTGCTGCAGGGGAAGGCTGCTGCTGCTGCAGGGACAGGCTGCTGCTGCTGCTACTGCTGCAGTAGGGGCAGGCTGCTGCTGCTGCTGCTGCTGCTGCTGCTACTGCTGCGGCAGTAGGCGCAGGCTGCTGCTGCTGTAGGGGCGCGCTGCTGCTGCTATTATTCCTGCTGCAGTAGGGGCATGCTGCTGCTGCTGCAGCATCACTCCCACCCTCAGCAGCAGCAAGAAATTAAAAACTTTTTTGCTGCTGTGCCTCGACTCTATATGGGAAGGAGGTGGGACCCTGAGGGGCCCCCCAGGGGGGCCCCAGGGGCCCCCTAGTGGCCCCTGAGGGGCCCCTCAGGGGCCCCCAGGGGGGCCCCTAGGGGGCCCCTCAGGGGCCCCCAGGGGGGCCCCTAGGGGCCTCCACTACGGGGGCCCCCGTTGTTGCATTTAAATACGACTGAGACCCTCGGGGTCTGAAGGCTTCGCGAGCGGCGCTGCTGCTGCGCTGCTGCTGCTGCTGCTGCGCTGCTGCTGCTGCTGCTGCTGCGCTGCTGCTGCTGCTGCTGCTGCGCTGCTGCTGCTGCTGCTCCCACTGCTATAACCCTCTGCAGCAGCTGCGTTTGCTGCCAATGGGTGGCCCAGCAGCGCCGCAGCCTCAGCAGCAAATAAGTTTAAAAACTCTTTTTGGATTTTGCAATTTTATTTCTTTTTGTTTTTGGAATTCCAGAAAATAAGAAAGCAGCTGGTAAAGACTGTTAGAGGTGCCCGCAGTTCTGAGCCTCGCGCCATGCTGCTGCTGCTGCTGCTGCTGCTGCTGCTGCTGCTGCTGCTGCTTTTGCTGCTGCGCAGGGCATGCCTGCTGCAGCTCCTGCGGCTGCTGCAGCGGCCGCGCCCGCAGCGCCAAACAGCAGCACAGCAGCGCAGCTGGACAGCTGCAGCAGCAGCAGCAGCAGCAGCAGCAGCAGCAGCAAATAGGAGAAATGAAAGAGCCGCGCAGCAGCAAAGTCCAAGTGTTCTTCACCTCTCCTCTTTGCTGCTGGATTAGCTGCAGCAGCAGCAGCAGCAGCAAAGCGGAGAAGTGAAGGAACAGCAAAGCAGCAAAGTTCAGGTGTCTGTACACCTGGCGCACCCCCCGCTGCTGCTTGCATGCAGGTTTGCATGCAGAATTTTTTAGGATTTGTTTTTTTTTTATTTTAAAAGATTTCTTTTCTGTTTTTCTCTTTTATTCATTAAATCCTTCTCTTTAGAGTTTGAAAAGTCATATTTGTTTTATTTCTTTTAAAAAGAAAAAAAAGAAATTAATATTCAAGAAACGAAACTTTTTGCTTCGGCCTCAGGTGTATGTCCAGCTCCCCCTGGGGTGTACAGACACCTCAAATGTACGCGCAGCTGGAAAAGTCTTTTTAAAAAGTTATTTAAAATCCATTTTTGTTTATTTCAAAAGTTATTTAAAATCCATTTTTGTTTATTTGCATTTCTTTACTGTTTTCCAATTAAAAGAAATGATGCAGCAGCTAGCTGCTGCTGCTGCATGCATTCCGCCAGCGCAGTGTACAGACACCGCAGCTGTTGCACCTCACCTGGAGCCACAATACACCCAAACACTTTGAGACAAACCCTAAACCCTAAACCCTAAACCCTAAACCCTAAACCCTAAACCGTAGACCCTCGGGCCTTCTTCTGCGCCGCTGCAGGAGCCACACAAGCCTGTGTGGGGCAAAGTTGCAGCACTGAGCCTTCAAATAAAATAATTAAATATTTTTAATTTATTTTTAAATAAAAAATAAATTAAAAGTTTAATTTTGTTTCAAGAGCGAGGAGGCGCCGACAGGCTGACACTGAATTCCACGTGAGCCAGTGGTCGCTGCTGCTGCTGCTGCTGCTGCTGCTGCTGCTGCAGTTGTGTTCCTTAGAAAAGGGCTGCAGCAGCAGAAACTGGGCTTTTTTGTTTTTAATTTAATAAATTTAAATAAATTTAAACTTTAAAAATCCAATTATTCAGCTCGAAGGAACCGAAACGCATGCACGCCGCGCCGGGGCTGCGAGCTGCTCAAAGAAGAAGTCCCAGCATTTCTTTGGCTGCGCGATAGGCAGCAATTTTCTCCTTTTTGTTTTTAAAGTATTTTATTTATATTTTGTTTGCATTTTACTTCCATTTTGCTGTTCTTTCTTCCCGAATTCGCGCGCTTTTCCGGGTGTACGTACACCCGAACTTCTTCCGCGGTGCATGCGAGACGGCGACTCGAACCAGGTGTACGTACACTCCGCGGCCCGCAGCTCCTCCGCACACTCAGCGAGCTTCTCCACTCCTCACTTTTGATCTTCTACTTATTTTAGGATATATCTTTCCCTTCCTTTTCCCTCGAGTGCAGCAGAACCGCAGCAGCAGCTGCCGCAGCCGCAGCCGAAGCCGCAGCAGCAGCAGCAGCAGCAGCAGCAGCAGCAGCAGCAGGTCGGCTGTTTGCCTCTGGGCCCCCAGCTATGGGCGCAGCGCAGCCACTTCTTTCCCCCTGTGCTGCTTCTGGCCTTTGAGCCTCAGCAGCAAACCGGGGCAGCAGCAAATCGTTCTTGCTGCTGCTGCAGCTCCCTGGGAAGCTCCGGCTTTGCTGCTGCGGGCTCTGCACGGCTTTTACGTGCAGGGAATGTGAGCTCCGCTGCTGCTGCGGGTCCAGGGCTGCTGCTGCTGCTGCTGCTGCTGCTGCTGCTGCTGCTGCTGGGGGTCCGGTGCAGCTGCGTGCCGCGGCCCGCTGCTGCAGCTGACTGGGGTCCGGTGCTGCTGCTGCTGCTGCTGCTGCTGCAGCGGGAGCAGGGCTGCCGCGCGAGCGGCGCTTCGGTGCCTGCGCAACAGCAGCAGCAGCAGCAGCAGCAGCAGCAGCAGCAGCAGCAGCAATGTTTGACGCAGTGTATCTGTTGTCTTGCGAGGGGAAAGTGCTGCTGTCTCGGAGTTTCCGAGAAGTTCCTGCTGCTCACTTGGCAGCATTTTGTCGGAGTCTGTTTGCTCGGGTGTACGTACACCCCGCGCCCCCCGTCTTCTGCGCGGGCGAGGGAAGAAACAAAACGACATTTCTGTACATTTGCTGCGCAGCAGCAGCAGCAGCAGCAGACGCGGAGGCTGCGGGCGCCGCTGCTGCTGCTGCTGCTGCTGCTGCGGGCCCCGCTGCTGCTGCTGCTGCTGCTGCGGGGCTGCAGGCCGCGCTGCAGCGCACGCAGGCCGCGCTGCGCCACAGGGGCCAGGGGGGCCTCGTGGCAGCACTTGCATGCAGAGGCAATCCCAATGCTGCAGCAGGACTTGTGCTGCTGCGGCAGCTGCTGCTGCTGCTGCAGGAGTGTGCGGGGCGTGCTGCAGCGCCGGGGGCTCCGCTGGGGCCCCCGGGGGCCCCCGGGGGCCCCCCGGGCTCGCGGGGGCCCCTGGGGGCCCTGGGGGCCCTGGGGGCCCTGGGGGCCCTGGGGCTCCGCAGGGGCCCCCCGGGGGCCCTCGACGAGGCCTTCATAAGGGCGCATGCAGCAGCAGTTTTGCAGCTTCTTGACGAGGCCCTCGACAGCGGAATTCCGCAGAGTTCGGAGCCGCAGCTGCTGCTGCTGCTGGCGGAGGCGAGCAGCAGCAGCAGCAGCAGCAGCAGCAGCAGCCGCTGGGGCGCCCGCGGCTTCC